TACGTGATTCGTCTTCGACAGTGTTCTGGAACAGGCAGAACCAGGAAAGAAATCTCAGGAAACAAAGCAGTTAAGAAGGGCAGAATAGCTAAAGGATACAAAGCATACAGTGGATTTAACCTGAGGTAACTACAGGTGAAAGAAAAACACCTGTAGTCACAAACATTAATGGATTCAGAATGCCATATATTGATTTCATCCAAACACACAACTCTTTGGTTTCGGCTTCTGGGTGTCATTTTAAAGTTTGCATCTCTTTTATCTTCATTGAACAGATGTTTTGTTCTTCGTGGGCAGATGGATAAAGGGAACAGACTGGAACCAAGAAATACTCTGAGAACTGCTACAGCATCACAGAAACTTTACTTCAATGACTGTAATTTTACAGGCATAGAAAAAAGCTGTGATGACCGTTTCAATTACAAATAATGTTTGTTTTTCCTCTGCCAAGTACACAACATTATGATTAAGAAAGAAAGCATCCAGTAATTTTTCTTGGTTAACATGAAAATCAAAACAGAAGGGCGCGTTTATCTTTTTAAATGTTTTTTTTTCTCTCTCTTCTGACCTCTAAAAGGCTTTAAGTAAATTTTGTGGTAAAGCAAAGAACATGAGCAACAAGGGAGTCTCGGATGATTATAATGTTTGAATACACTCTTTGTGGTATTGGCAACGTTGCTGTGATTAAGGGTTGGCTAGCTAGTGGCTTGGGCCTATAAACTTTCATTTTCCTTCCAAAAGACCTGCAACATGGTGATGAATGTATGTGTCTCTCCTTCAACTTATTTATATTTATGTGGGATTTTGTTTCTGAATGCAGTTCTGTCAATTTCGTCTCATGCAGCAACCAATTAGGAAATAAGGAACAATCAGATAACCAAGAATTTCACTACATGCAGATCTTCCCAGCCCTCACTATAGATTGTTCCTCTATTCCAAAATACAGTTGTGCCCCGCTTTATTATTACCCCACATTACAACGAATCCACTTCATGACGACGATTTTGTTTCTGAATGCAGTTCTGTCAATTTCGTCTCATGCAGCAACCAATTAGGAAATAAGGAACAATCAGATAACCAAGAATTTCACTACATGCAGATCTTCCCAGCCCTCGCTATAGATTGTTCCTCTATTCCAAAATACAGTTGTGCCCCGCTTTATTATTACCCCACATTACAACGAATCCACTTCACAACGACGTTTTTGACATTGCTTTTGCAATCGCAAAACGATGGTCTAAATAGGGTTTTTTCGCTTTGCAATGATCGGTTCCCTGCTTCGGGAACCAATTCTTCGCAAAATGATGTTTTTTTAACAGCTGATCGGTAGTTTTAAAATGGCTGCTGGGTAATTAAAATGGCTCCCCGCTGTGTTTAGGGATGGATTCCTCGCTATACATGCACCGAAAATGGCAGCCTTATGGAGGATCTTCGCTGGACGGTTTTCAATGCGTTTCAATGGGCTTTTTATTTTTGCTTTACGACGTTTTCGCTTAACAGCGATTTTCCTGGAACAGATTATCGCCGTTAAGCGAGACACCACTGTACATTAAAGGGCTGAGTCTGGGAAGGGGATGAAAAGTAGAGGCAGGTGGAAACTCTGGTTGTTGCTAAGCAACCAACAATATACTTTGCAACTATTTCAGAAACTGAAGTGAGATTCTTTTTTCCTGAGCATACTGAGGGGAAAAACGGGCATGCAACCCAATGCCTTCCCACCCACGTTGTCAGGAAAGGCCTGACAAGGAACTGTAATCACATTTTGCTCAATATGCAACAGAATTTCATGATATCAGAAACCCTGATAAGACAACAATACTGAGAGATGGAGCCAGTTTGAGCCTTAGTGATTTAAGTAGATAGAATAATGGCTACACATTTGTTTCCTTATATCTTTCCAAATTAAAGGGATACTGGCTTTTAGGGTGGTACCATTAAAAATAAAATTGCCTTGTAAATCTTGACTTTTTCACTGAATTGAAAAACTAAATAAAAGCCCACATATACAATGCTACTTAAGAAACAAAAACCACAGCAAAAGTTATTTTTTTCAGTTAAATAAAATATTTTTTTAGTTAAATAAAATAAGTGCCTATCTGGTGAGGGTGATTGTCCTAACAGAAAATCCTCTGAATATTCCTGAATGAACTGTTCAACCAGAAATTGTTCACCTTCCAATGCCTTCACAATGAACATTTGTCAGTAAAATAATCATTCATTTTCTGATATAATTGGAAAACAAACCTGAAAGTTTGTAAGAACAAAAACCAATGGCCAGAATCTTATTACCATATTTTTTGCTCCATAAGACACACTTCCCCCCCCAAAAGAAAAAGTGTGGGGAAAGTCTGTGCATCTTATGGGGCGAAGGTGGCGATTTCGCCCCCACTGGCGCCGTGGGGGGAGCCTCCCAAGGGTCTGAGTGAGCCTTCCAGGACCCTTGCGACGCTCCCACCCACCCACCCACGGGGCCAGCGCCACTCCATGGGCCCGGAGGGGGCAAAATCACCACCTTCTGAGACTCTTTTGAGGCTTGGGAAGCTTCAGAAGAGTCCCTGGAGGTGGCGATTTCGCCCCCACTGGCGCCGTGGGGGGAGCCTCCCAAGGGTCTGAGTGAGCCTTCCAGGACCCTTGCGACGCTCCCACCCACCCACCCACGGGGCCAGCGCCACTCCATGGGCCCGGAGGGGGCAAAATCACCACCTTCTGAGACTCTTTTGAGGCTTGGGAAGCTTCAGAAGAGTCCCTGGAGGGGGCGATTTCGCCCCCTCTGGCCCCCTGGGGGGCAGGGGGAGCCTCCAAAGGGTCCTGGAACATACCCTGGAACCTTTGGAGGCTCCCCCACTCCCCCACAGGGCCAGAGGGGGCTAGGGTGTGTTCCATAAGATGGACCTCTCCATAAGGCTCACCAAATTTTAGAAGAAAACAGATTAATTTTTCCCTGTTTTCTTCTCCTAAAAATTTGGTGCGTCTTATGGAGAGGTGCATCTTATGGAGCGAAAAATACGGTACTTATATGAATTGCAGTGGCAAATTGTCAGCACTTAACAAGTCACTTCTTTTATACCTTGCCACATAGCACTCATATGAATTTGTACATGAAAAAGAATACAAACAGTGATTCATTAACTAGTGGCAGTTCATTGCTGTGATTTATGCCACTGCACTTACACTGGTATAAATGACCAGTAGGATTCTGGCCACTATTTTAGATAAATGTATCACGTGGACCTTGTAAAACTTAATATCACTGAATGAATGGTTTAAAAAACATTGCATTAAAGCTACAGAGAGCAAGGATGCAACGGGTGGGGGGAGGATGGGGAGGATCCATATAACTAATTCAAGCCTTTTTCAACAGTGATTTAAATTGTAATGACTTAACTGACAATAAGGAAATGGATGACAACAATGTAAGTAGATAATGAAACCAAAAGATTCACAGGTTCAGTAGACTGACAGCTGCAGGTATAGAGATTACAAAATGTGGAACAGAGGGCGAAGTGGAGATTTGGATATAAGTGCAATCAGAGCACAGAATTTAACCATCATGTTAAATTCAATTATAGGGCAAGTAAATATAAAAAAAATGCTAATTCTGGTAAGACAGACTTCCAGCTTAAGTGTGTTGGGGATGCAGATTTGAGGCCCTCCAGGTCTTTCTGGATTGGAATTCTTTATCAACTAACTTAGGCAACTGTGAAGGCTGGTGGGAGCTGAAATCCAACCACATCTGGACAAGTCACACGCTGCCCACTCCTGAACTAAAGCTGAACTAAAGTAAAGGAAGCACAGAACTTGGGCAGCAACAATAAAGATTTGGGATGATGCAATATCATAGAGCAAAGGGCACATGCAGGTAAAGTTGATGTATTTAGAATGTGTTATTATATATAAACAATATGAATACTCTACCGGTTCTATTAAATGGGCCATTAATCATCCCCTTCCATTTTGCACTACATACCATGGAACATACAGTTCCATCCTCATTATAAGGAGAATGTTAATGTTAAAACAGGATCCAGTTTATGGGGGTGGGGGGCTGATCTAAAAATACTATTGCTTCTCCTAGGAGAAATTTGCTTTCTGGTGTGATGGCTTCAGAACCTGACCCTGTACATTTTCTTTCCTTCTGGAAAAAAGATTCTGCCACTCCATCCTCAGCAACAGCAGCCACTAACCTGAGATTCCTATCAGGCCATTAAGCTTTCCCTCCCTGCTCCTTGTCAGACGTGTGGGATGAGCCACTTGTGACATCTTAAAGGAAATTATTTTAAAGCAGGCTGTTATAATCAGGCAAGGTGGCTCTTTAAGAATTCAATTAACGTCCAGCCTGTTTTGCAATAAATCGTCCAAGAGCACGTCCTGCCACTCTTCATTCCAGGGAGAGTGTCCGGAGACTGCCCAGATGTTTCAGCCTCCGGTTCTCCTCCATGGAAAGTTTCCGCCTGGAGGCTGCCACATTTAGACATTCTGTTCTCTTGACTCTACTTAATCTAGAGGGCTGTCAGAACTGTCACATGAGCAGTGAATCATGGCACACCCCCACCCCCACTGAAAGCCCTCAAGAGGCGCTCAGGGCAGGCAGCTGCACAAACCTGCACCCAAATGGGGTCTCTTCTCAGGGAAGGTTTTACAAATCAACCTTTGGATAATCCCACAGCTTGACTGATAGGGCCTGTTTGTTCAATAACAGAAATTTGTCAAAAACAAATTGGCTGTCTTTCAAACCAACACCCTTGCCCGGGTTCCCCTACCCTCTTCCTTTTCAGCTTTTTTTTCTCTCCGGCTTCCCACCCACCCTCCTACCCCCCAAGCCTCCCCNNNNCCTCACCTCAATCCTCCACGCAGCAAGATCCATTTTCTTTGCTCTGAACAAACTGGAATTACACAAGAATGCTGTCCCGTTGCTCGCCTCCATAGATCGGCCCATTTCCTCCTTCCTCCCCTCCTTTTCTTCTTTAGTATTTCCCAGGATAACACATAATCCTTTGCACCTGCAAAAGCTCCGCAGACTGCCGACTGCCAAGAATCCACCACGTGTCCTTGCTTCCATGACCAGAGATCCTGTATTTAAAGAGATAGGAGGGGAAGGAAAGTTAGTCATCAGCCCCATTTCCAACAGGTTCATTAGCTACAGGACGGATGGGAAGCGGAGTTTCAGCTCTCTGCCTGGTATTTTCAATTTATGTAAAAAGTAATTCAACTTCACCCCTCCCCCACTAGCCCAAAGGACTAAACGAGATGGTCTGGCAAAGATAAAAGGAACTGAAAAAGAGTAAGCGTGTTTGCACAGAGTTAAGTTACACAGTCATTTCAGCCAGAAACAATGCAATTTTGCAGATACTGCCTGGATCTTTCTCCTCCTGGGAAGATGAAACATTGAAAAAAATTGAGCAGAACATTGGAAGAATATCAGCCCTGGTTTCCAATCCATAAATACATGCCAAATATATATTCATGTCCAGATACTTCAATATAAAGCAAGGATGAGCAACAACAACAACAGCACAGTCACTATTACTGAAAGTGGCCTCAACAACTAAGATGTAGGTCGTTGATACATCTATTTTGCAGTTGTGGAAACATAGTTTGGAATTATTATTTTTTATTTATATAATCTATCTTGGGGACCTGTGTGGTCTGCCAGCATAGTTTGAGACTGGCTAGTTGAACAATAGCTTGCTAAAGAGTTTCTTGTTGTTCATCCCTGCTTTATATTGAAAAATAGGATTGATGAACAATTCTAATCTATCAGGATGAACAACAACCCCTCCAAGATAGCAACACAAGCTTGGGGTTGAGATGTGATTTGAACTTGGGTTAGGAGGCATTAAGATATACACAGCTGTCTTGAAAGATGATTCCACTATTTATCGGAAATCACAATCTCCCTTGCATTCACATTCTGGACAGAAATACAAAGTTTTAAATTATTGATGACTGGTTTTCCCATGGGACATTCCCAAAGACACCTCTCTCTTCTGCTTCTAATATTTTCACACAGATTGGCCACCATTTGTGATGATCACAAAAATCAGTGTTTTGAAGGGAGGGTTTTAAAAAAGAAAATAAAGATGATGAGTACAGATTAGTAGTGCCAGAGAACTGGAAATGATGTTTTTGCGAAGTCAAGTGCATGAAAGTGGAAATCCATACTGAAGTCTCCAAGACCAGCCTCCCACAATATGGTGTCCTCGGGGCCTTTGAGAATACCATTCCCATAAACCCTATCCAGCACAACTAGAGACTAAGACTGTTAGAAATGATAGTTCAAGACATCTGGAGCAGGACTTTACTGGGAAAGGCTATGCACAGCTGTACCCACTCATTTGGTTTCTGAACTCTTGCCCCTGACAAAGTTGCATGCTAACTCCTTGCAAGTTTAAATGGAGAGATTCAAGAACCAAGAATAATGTACAACTTTCCTGTACAGCAGAACAAAAATCACCAAGGCCAAATTTGCATTCAAGCTGGCCAACAGGAAATAATAAAATCCCCTTACAAAGAAGCCAACTTAATCACGGTGTAGCTTTCCCCAGGGAAGCAGGGAAAGCCCTGCTAGCTGGGTTGTTTAAAAATAGTCTGTAGAAGGTAGCACTTGAGAATAGACCACAGGGAATAATCCTGCACTGGCAAAAAGACTGAACAAGGATGACCTAATATGTTCCTTTCCATCTTTCTGTTTTGTAAAGAGGCCCAGAATAAAATGTGCAACAGGGAGGGAATGAACACATGAACTGACTAGAAGGAGATCACTGAATAATCAGTAAGGTGGAAACTCAGGATGGGGCCTATCCTGCAAGGCACACATTCTCTTGGGGATAACTGAGAGGTCACATGGGCATAGCCAAAAGGCCCACTCTCTTCTTTCAGTTTTATTCTCCTGCTTATTTTAATCACCCATACTTTCTCTGGCATCTCCTCTCCCCCTCACTTCTTCTCTTCCTTTGGGGAGGACCAGATTACAATTTGTTAGAGATATCAAACAATCACTTAACAGATACCAATCAAATCTTCAGTTTGGCTATGAAGTCTCCAAAAGACCTTCAAAATGATGTTACTGCTGTTTCTCTCTTTCTTCATTTTCACCTCAATGTTCGCCATAAGCATATCCTGCCCCAGTTCACAGATCTACTACTATTCCTTCTCTTCTTATTTAGTCTCTTCCTTTTGAGTATGCAGTAACCTTCAACCATCACATTCTAATGATGTGTCTCATCCCAACAGATTTCCTTCATATCTACAATATTATATCTATTATATATTATATTATATTTGCCTACCTCTGTTAAGAGTTCAAGTTCATTTTGTTTTTCATGCACTGGTGTATATGCATGTGACATTGTTGGTCATTCCTTCCAGTTGCTTGCCTACTATCTTTTCCCATCCATTGATGGCTCTAGTTCTACCCTCCAGTCTCTTGTGCATTACCAACACTATTTCTCCCCAGTCTCCCTGCTCACTGGAAAACTATCTTCTTCCCTGACAGGATTCAGTTTAAAACCTTTCTGATTAGGTTTGCAAGACTCCTTTCAAATCATTACAAATCCTGTAAGGTGCAACCTGTCATTTGCCAGTAGCCCTTCTTCATTGAAGTGCAGTCTGTGATCCAAGAAGCAAACACCATCTGTGCAAATATATATTGACTCCAGTATTATTGTTCCTCTTCATTGGGCAATGACCTTTGGTAGGAAGGAATAATGGAAAACAAACTACTTATACAGTGGTGCCTCACTTTATGATTGTCCCGCATTACGACGAATCCGCTTCACGATGTTCTTTTTGCAATCGCAACTGCAATCGCAAAACGATGGTCTGAATGGGGAAATTTCACTTTGTGATGATCGGTTCCCTGCTTCAGGAACCGATTCTTCGCAAAACGATGATTTTTCAACAGCTGATTGGCGGTTTCAAAACGGCTGCCAGGTAAATAAAATGGCTCCCCGCTGTGTTTCGGGACGGATTCCTCGCTGTACAGGCAGTGAAAATGGCCGCCTTATGGAGGATCTTCGCTGGACAGTGAATTTCCAGCCCATTGGAATGCATTGAAAGGTTTTCAATGCATTTCAATGGGCTTTTTATTTTCGCTTTACAATGTTTCCGCTTAATGGCAATTTTCCTGGAAAGGATTATCGTTGTTAAGCGAGGCACAACTGTACTATAAATTCCTCACCTTCATAGCGAGGATTTCCCAGTCACATGCAATCTATTGAAGGGTATGACTACAACATACCTCCTGACACACCTGCTTCTGTGTTTCCAAAATGCTTGCCTTCTGCATTTAGTAGTCTTCTCCTTCTCTAGAGACATCTCCCCCCATTCCTCTTCTAAAAGAATCTACTCAGCTGTATCCTGACTCACTTCATTTTTTCCTAATGAGCCAGAATAAGGGTAGGCAGATGTAAGCTGTTGTATCTTCTGTTTTAGCAGAATAATTAGTTTGCCCATGCTGCAGATGTGGATTTCTGCATCCTCCAGTGGAAAGGCAAACATGCCACGAGGGTTGCAGGTCTCTGCAAAAAAATTCTTCAAAGTCTGTCTCTTCTGTCCTAAGCAGGTAGTGAAATAATACTCATGGCCACCCTCCTCACACTGCCCCACTAAATGCCCATGCAAAATACCCTGTTTCCTTACTCTCTTCATGAAGACCTGGCATTTACTAGTTCCTCCCTTAACCAAATCTGTGACTCACTTCCTCTTAGCATTCACATCTTGTCAACTGTAGCTGATCGTCTCAGTACCAAACAGTCATAAAAAACACAAACCTCCAAGGAGCTCAGATAATTAGCCTCTAATGATAAACACAGTCTCGTTCTGTTTTCCCTCTTTCATCAGTCTCGTGCAAAACACCCTTGTTTACTCACTCTTTTCATAAGTTCTTGCTTGTGAGCTCACTGTGAGTGCAGCTACAGACCTGGCAGCTACTGGCTCTTGCTCCAACCAAGTCCCAAGCCAAGCTACCTACTTCACTGTAAGTCAATGACAATGTACTAGGAGACAAGCAATTCTTTGGCTACAGCTATGGGGAAAGACAATTTGTCCTCAATTTCATGAAAGCTTATACCTCAACCTGGGGCGACCGATTTAGAATCTCCATCTTGGGATGATACTTTAACACAGACCCTGGCAACACAATGGCTGGGCAAGATAATTTTTGGATTTGTTGTTTCACCATTATCCCCCATCCCCTCAAGCTCTGAAAAAACACCAGCGTGAAACTGGGTCTGATTAATACAAAAGGCAAACAAAAAGTAAGACCTTGTTTGTGGAAAATTATACCTGCCACATTTATTTTATGTTGCATGCCTTCAAGTTGGAAGTGATTTATAGTGACCCTAACAGGGCTTTCAAGGTAAGTGAGATATTTTAGAAGTCATTTTATCAGTTCCACACCTCCAGTGAATTTCCATGGCTGAGTAGAGATTTGAACCCAGGCCTCCTGTGTCTTAGCCAGTTACTTTATCCACTACACCACATTGGGTATCCCTGCCGCAGTTGTACCAACATTAAAATTTTGAGTTCCCAGGTGTTTTTCAAAATTTAGGCAGTGTCACTAAATCAGAAGAAGCATTCATTCGGCTGCCTGGTGGCCCAGGAAAGCTCTCCTCCAGCGTAGGACAGGACAGAACCTGAAACTACCAGGAAGGCTTGCAATGTAAGTAATCTCAAAAATTATTCAAAGCCTCTTGCTGACTAGCTGGATGTGTGTCAGTCTTCAGTAAAACATTAAAAGAAGGAAATAAATCCAGGATAGCAGGAGTGGAGTACGCACAATTGCTTTTCCTCTCCTCCCTTGTGGACACTTATAGTAGCCAAAGAAAACCATCTGTAAGAATTTATTCCAGCTTTATTTTCACAAAAGTTCTATTTTGAAGATACATTTTAAAGGAGTAAATATGCTAAGACTTCTGACAGCTGAAGATATCTTTGAAATAATTCCTGCTGCATATGAAAACGAACATCACCTTTATGTTCTCTTATGTCTAATGGACTGCTGTAAAATGAGCCTTGGGTCACTTCGGCAGAAATACATTTAGATGCAGTCTATTCAAATGCCCAACAGA